AAAAAAAAAAAAAAAAAAAAAAAAAAAACTTTTTTTAACTTTACGCATTCTCAGGAGATACTCTTTGCAGCCTAAGATGCTGCAGAATCACCAATAAAACAATAAATTACCGGGGCTGGGTGTGGTGGCTCACACCAGTAATCCCAGCACTTTGGGAGGCCGAGGCAGGTGGATCACAAGGTCAAGAGTTCAAGACCAGCCTGGCCAAGATGGTGAAACCCTGCCTCTACTAAAAATACAAAAAAAAAATGGCTGGGCACGGTGTCAGGTGCCTGTAATCCTAGTTACTCGGGAGACTGAGGCAGGAGAATTGTTTGAACTTGGGGGGCAGAGGTTGTAGTAAGCCAAGATTGCACCACTACATTCCAGCTTGGGCGACAGAGTGTAACTCTATCTCAAAAAAACAAAACAAAATAATAAATTACTATATGATACTGAAGAAGTAGAAAGTACAAACATTTATGCTGAATCTATTCACTACCACAGCAAATCTGGGATTGTTTGACTAAACTCTTGATACTGGGTTGGCTGCCTCTCTTTCTTTCTCTTAAAAGCGAACATGCCAAAACTAAATTCTATTCAAGTGAAGGTTCCAATCAGTTTAGATATTACTATAAATTAGCCCCTAGTAACTCACAATTTGTACAGGAAGTAAACCAACCCAAGACCTAACTAAGCCAAAGAACAAGCAAAACAGACAACCTCAGACTATGGCCCCATCCTCTTATTCTCATACAAGTACTTCTACTAAAAAACACTCCCCTTCTCTACTTAGCAATTCTATTTCCTGCTTTCTGCCTCTCAAGAATGAAATCTGAAGGAATTCTCTATTTTTAAGATTTCTCAATTTCATCCCTACCAATGCTAACACCAATTAACCTAGCGACACTTGAACAAGTCACACTCCTGGCGGTCATTTCCAGGAGAAAAATTAAATACACAGAGAAAATGAGTCCACCAGATTCTGTGAGAGTCCACAAGCAGCCACTGATGTAAAAAAGATGAAAAGATAAAGGGTATTGTGCTCCCTTTGGCAGCACACATGCTAAAATTGGAAGGATACAGAGATCAGCATGGCCCCTGCACAAGGATAACACGCAATGCTGGCTCCACCAGGGGTCTTTCCACTGCTTAACAAAGATGATCAGGTTGAGTAAATGCCCCCTTTCCTCCGTGGGTTCCCTGGACCCACTCCACACTGTTTATTCAGGGCCATAGCCATTTTCCCAAGCAGATGGCCAATGGTGGCCCTCAGGAATGTAAATTAGACACAAAGAGCCTATTGTGGGCTATGTTGTTCCCAGCTCTATTACCACAGACTGACACATTACCTGACACAGAACAGGCACTGAGTACTTGTTCAATGCCTGAACCTGCCAAACACTCAAGTAGATTCAACTGCATATTCGCTAAGCGGCTAGTCTGTAAAAAAAATACACTATTTGATCCATGAAAATGTATAAACATGGTCTCCACTATCAAGGGACAAATACTGAGTGTCAAGGAAAAATACAATTGGAAAGAAAAAAAAAGAGAGAAAGGCGAATTGCAAAGAAGTAGAAAGTATTTTAAAGGTCGAAAATTTGAAACAATTGACAGGAATCATTTAACCTTTATCATTTACAGAAAAAACGTCTCCTGAAATGGCTTTCTTTCATCAGTAAGAATGATTTATATTCTATTATTCATTTCTAGGATCAAAGTAACCTACAGATTTAGCACAGAGGAGAAAATCCTTATGGGTATTTCTTTTTGGGTACGGAAGTTGATAAAACCCACTCTAGAATGTATATGGAAATACAAAGGAGCAAGTCAAGACAATCTTGAAGAACAAATCTGGAGGACTTATTCTCCAGGCATTAAGATTTATTTTAAAGCTACAGTAATACAGTGTAATACTGCTGCAAGGACAAAGGCAACAAGTTAACGGGAAGGAGTTCCCCAGCAGATCCACACATATATGGATACCTGATTTACACAGCAGCAGATGTTCTTTTCAGTTAAAGAGCTAGGTCAATATGAGGAAAAAAAATGAACCTTCACCTCTACACAGAAAAAATAATTCCAGGCAAACTACAAACATGAGAGGTAAAAGAGTGAAACTTCTTTGTGACCCTAGGGTAGACACAAAGATTTCTTACACAGACCACAAAAAATGTACTAACCATAAAAGATTAAATTAGACTAAGTCAAAATTAAGGTTTATCAAAGACCCCATTAAGAGAGTGAAAAAGCAGACAGGAGTGGTGGCTCAGGCCTGTAATCTCAGCACTTTGGGAGGCCAAGGTGGGTGGATCATCTGAGATCAGGAGTTCGAGACCAGCCTGGCCAAAATGGTGAAACTGTATCTACTAAAAACACGAAAACTAGCTGGGTGTGGCGGCAGGCGCCTGTTATCGCAGCTATTCGGGAGGCTGAGGCAGGAGAATCGCTTGAACCCGGGAAGTGGAGGTTGCAGTGAGCTGAGATCAGACCACTGCACGTAGCCTGGGGCCTGGGTGACAAAGGGAGACTCTGTCTCAAAAAAAACAGAGAAAGAGAGTAAAAAAGCACAATGACTATAATTATATAAATAAATAGAGTGAAAAGGTGAACCAGAAAGTTTAAGAAGATAGTCATGGCTGGGCGCGGTGGCTCAAGCCTGTAATCCCAGCACTTTGGGAGGCCGAGGCGGGTGGATCACGAGGTCAAGAGATCGAGACCATCCTGGTCAACATG